GGTTAGGTCCTCAACCCAAAGTGAAGCTTTTTCTCTCTCTTTTGTGCAAGAAATCTTGATAAAGTTGGTAACTTTTGCTAAATCTTTTTTATTTTCTTTTGGGGTTTTTGAATTACAGTGATTTCTGGCTTTGTTTCTTTTCTGAATTCTCATTGATTTTCCTCTGGGAGAGTTTCCATTTGCATAGGGGAGAATCTTGTACTTGAAATTGATGGCTCTACTTTGATTGATACCTTCTTAAGTCAACTCTCCATTGAAAGCGAAGCTGCTTATTTATAATTTTATAGCATCTATATGATTTCATCCTTTGGAAAAAAAAAGCATTAATAATATTGGAAGTTGGGGAAAAGAGTAGTTTGATTCTTCTCTTCTCTAGTTCTTGGTTGGGCCTTTGATAATGTTTCTGCATCTTTTTCAGATTGGGTGTTGACATACTGAGGAGAGGAACCTTTATTCACTGGACTTTGCTCTTGTATCTATTCATCTTCAAGACGCTTATGCACAGTCTCTGAGAACTTTGGGGATTTGGTAGGATCTCTTAGATATGGAAGATGATGGTGGTGGCGATGGAGGCGAAGGAAATGGTGGATTTTCACCTAATTCTAGCTTTGGGGGATTCCCTGAGACAGCCATGGATTTGGATTTTATGGATGAGCTCTTGTTTGATGGATGTTGGCTAGAGACAACAGATAGTAAGAGCTTGAAGCAGGGAGAAGAATCTGCTTCAGTTTCTACCGCCATGAATGACAATAGCCCTTTCCTATGCTTTGATCAAGATGATTTCCCCAATGAAGAAACAGAGAGAATGTTTCATTCTTCACCTAGTTATCTCAAGAACGACAAATCGATGAATCCAGAACCTTCCAACCAGGGTACAACAAGCTCTGAGCAAGCAGAAAAGTTTCTACTCGAAGAAGCTGAGGTGGGAAGAAGTTGGTGGATTGCACCAAAAGCAGGTGAAGGGATTTCTTCATCCGTGAAGGAGAGACTATTACAAGCTATTAGCGGTCTTAACGAGGCAGTGCAAGATAAGGACTTTCTGGTACAAATATGGGTGCCATTTCAGCAGGAAGGAAAGAACTTTCTTACCACTTGGGCGCAGCCACATTTGTTCAACCAACAATACTCTAGCCTTGCGAAATATAGACATGTTTCAGAGTCTTATAATTTCCCGGCTGATGAGGGTTCAAAAGATGTAGGTCTTCCCGGTCGTGTCTTCTTGCAGAAATTGCCTGAGTGGACTCCTGATGTGCGTTTCTTTAGAAGTGATGAATATCCGCGTATCAAAGAAGCACAAAAATGTGATGTCCGTGGGTCACTTGCGCTTCCTGTGTTCGAAAGAGGTAGTGGGACTTGTTTGGGTGTTGTTGAGATCGTCACAACTACTCAGAAGATGAATTACGGGCCAGAGCTTGAGAATATCTGTAAAGCTCTAGAGGTTTTTCTCTTCCTCTTGGTTTCACCTCAAACTCAGTAAACAAAATTACTCTCTAGATTTGCACCTCTTACTACACATGTTAGACATATACCACCTTTAAATCTTAGCTTGAACATCTCTTTCACTGGAGGGCTTTCTGTTTGCTCCTTATTTATGCTGTCTGACAGCAGAATCTTCAATTCTCTTTTAGAAAGTAATTGTTCTGCTTCTATCTTTCTGCATCCCTGCTTCTTCCTGATAGTCATTCGGTCACAATCTTCCTTTATTCATGTATATGACAACAGTGAAGCTTTGTTTGTGTTTCACAACAGCCTAAAGACGTTGCTGGTTTTGCAGGCCGTTGATCTAAGGAGTTCAAGTAACTTGAACTCGCCAAGCATTGAGGTGGTTTAACTGGACTCTTAGTTTATTCAACTCCCAAAACCAATGTTGCTAAGGTCATACCCATGTTTCAGTTTCTGCAGGTCGATAGTGATTTCTACTACGCTGCGTTACCTGAGATATCAGATTTCTTGGCCTCAGTCTGCAGATCATATGAATTGCCTCTAGCTTTGTCATGGACACCGTGTGCTATGCGAGGGAAAAGTGGATCCCGACATTCTGATGAGAACTTCTTTGAGTGTGTTTCTACAATCGATTCTGCTTGTTTTGTCCTGGACGAAGAGAGCAAAAATTTTCTTGATGCATGCTCTGAACACCATCTGCTCCGTGGTGAAGGCATTGTTGGGAAAGCATTCAAGTCAACCAAACTTTTTTTTGTGCCTGAAGTAACCGCATTTAGCAAGACCAATTACCCTCTTGCGCACCATGCCAAGATATCTGGACTACATGCTGCTTTAGCAGTCCCGTTAAAGAGCAAATGCAACGGTTTAGTTGAGTTTGTCTTGGAGTTCTTTTTTCCAAAAGCCTGCCTTGACACCAAAACACAACAGGAAATGCTTAAGTCACTGTCTGCGACTCTGCAGCAAGATTTCAGGAGTTTAAATCTTGTCATTGACAAAGACCTAGAGTTAGAAGTCGTGTTGCTTGTTAGTGAGGACATGGTTTTCTCAGAGAACCCACTAACTAGAGAAGAAACCGTAGAGTCTTTGAAAGAAATTCATCTGCAAGAATCTTCATGGATCTCCCACATGATAACGGCAAATGAGAAGGGTAAAGATGTGTCACTTTCTTGGGAATACCAGAAAGAAGATCCAAAAGATGAATTCAGGCTCTCATCTGGCTTGCATAACAGTCAGCTTGATCCAAGCCCCAATAAGCTTCCTTTAGAAGCTGAGCAGTTTCAACAAGCATCAAATTCAGGACTCAGAGTCGACACTGGTCCAAGTACTGAATCAGCTTCCATGAGTGGGGGAAATATGTTAGGCAGTAGAAGACCCGGGGATAAGAGAAGAACAAAAAATGAAAAGACCATAGGCTTGGAGGTTCTTAGACAGTACTTTGCTGGAAGCCTCAAGGATGCAGCCAAGAGCATTGGTGGTAAGAAATTGTTGGACATAGCTTCGCTCTTTATGAATTTCGGTTCTTCTTTTATGTTAGGAAAGGCATAACCAATCTGTTCCTTAGACCAAACCCCAAACTCGGATCCCAAATGAATATTTAACACTGAAATACAAGCCTGAGGAACTCTACTGAAGGCTATGTGAAACCTCTGTAGCGAATATATACACACAAGTCTCAGACGAAACCAGAAATTTGTCTTTACATTCTGTCTATAAGGCAGTGTATCAGTGTGCTCGACAAACATTTCATCATGCATATATCGGTCTCTCAGACAGTGATGTGAAAAGGTTTCATTCTTATGTTGCAGTTTGTCCAACTACCTTGAAAAGGATATGCAGGCAACACGGGATAGCAAGATGGCCTTCGCGGAAAATCAAGAAGGTTGGGCATTCGCTGAAGAAACTCCAACTCGTTATGGACTCTGTTCAAGGTGCGCAGGGCTCTATCCAACTCGATTCATTCTATACAAGCTTCCCAGAGTTGAGCTCCCCAAATATGTCCAGTAATGTCCCCTCCTTGAAGAGTAATGAACCGTCGCAGCCTTCGAATGTTCCAACCGAAAACGGTGTTTCACCAGAGGAAATAACAGCACCAAGGTCACCATCATCTTCTTGCAGCAAGAGCTCTGGTTCAAGCACCAATTCTGCACACATTCTGGAGGTTGCTGAGGATGGTGCATTGAAGAGCGCCCATAGTGAGGCAGAACTGCATACTGGGAATCAGGAGGAAACAAAAAGTCTTGCAAGAACCCAGAGCCATAAAACATTCAAGGAGCCTCCTCTTCCTGAAGATTTACCTCCATTACCAGACAGTAGCAACAAGTGCGGAAGAGCTAGAGGCAGCATCAAAGTGAAAGCCACATTTGGTGAGGCCAGAGTACGCTTTACATTACTTCCGAGCTGGGGCTACAGAGAGCTGCAGCAAGAGATTGCTAGGCGTTTCAAAATAGATGACACTTCCTGGTTTGATCTTAAGTACCTGGATGATGATGATGAGTGGGTTCTTCTAACATGTGAAGCAGATCTCGAGGAATGCATCGACATATATAGATTATCACAGAGCCAAACAATTAAAATAAGTCTGCAAGAGGCTTCTCAAGTCAAGCTGGGAGGTTCGTTTGGTAGCACCGGTCCTTCCTGATAAACAATCAAAGCAAGGCACCAGGAAGGTTCTACTGATTTAGTATATTATTAGAAATCTCATGTACCTTTTAACCTGGGAATCGTGTGTAAACATACTTTCAGTGCCCTGAATACCATTTTGCAAGTAGCAGTAGTAACTGATCTCCTGCATTACCTTAAGCAGATTTTTGTGTAAACGGTGATTCATTCCAGAAACTAATACTCTATGCGTGTACAATAATCTTTTTTATCTGGGTTTATCCTGAAGCTCCGCAACTACGAAGATTGAATTATTCTGTGTGCTTTCAATTATTTTTTTCTTGGAATATGTCTGGTTACAGGAACTATCTAATCTATGATTTAACTGATCTATCCAGCAAACCTTGTGTAATTAGGAACATGGAAAGACTGCTACTATTAAAGAATACCCATTTCACATATATTTCTAAGAACAGGAAAAAACAATCTGCATGTCTATGTTTAAGAGAAAACCTATTTCCAGTAAAAAAGCTAACAATTCGCTTTGTACCACTTCGAACTCCTAGTGTTCCAGAAACTAAAAGCTAGGTGGACGAAAAGCACAAGAATAGTAGCTTACACAATAATGTAGATTGTGTTTCTTCGACCTAAAATTCAAAGTTGGCTTCAAATTTTAAAGGAAAGCAGACAGCTCTTTTCCCTCTTTTCTCCACCAGCTTAGTCTTGCCACTTTTGTTTACCCACTAATGTCATTTTACCTGGTTCTCTGACTTCACAGCACACACCCTGAAGTCAATGTTTCCTTTGAATACGGTATTCAGAATACCCGTTAGGAAATTCTGACTAATAGCATTCCTGTTTACCACCATGTCATCTTGTCTGCTTCTATCAGCTGCTGCAACGACAAAAGAAATAAGAATGTGAAGGTCTGACTTTGAAATATTTTTCAATCAAAGTTGAAGGTTTTTGTAGTAGACTGGATTCCTAAACATTATCCTTGCAGATAACAGGGATATATATAGCTTCATTAGAGTCATCTCAAACTGTACATAACTAGCAATTATAACAAAGCTAACATTTTATACATGAGTGTGGAGACCATAGTCAAACTAGTATGCCAGTCAATGAGTATTCGACAAAGTATCTGACTGTAAACGCACATACTACTGCTTAAAGCAGGAGAAGCATGAAGAAAGTTACTGCTGTAAGTCCATTTCTACTCTCAGTTCAAAATGGATTAGACAAATTTTCGTCATCTGAAATCTTAGAAGTCTTATATATCAGAAGACTGTTACTAGGAGAACTGAACTTACAGCAACAGTTTCCTATCTTGTTTCATTGTCCTGGGCGTTCGTATTTGTTAGAGGTTCTTTTCAGTCGTTCAAGTTTCTTACATATCTAGGAGACTGGACTCTGCATCCTTAATGGCTGCACCTCAAAACGTGCCTGACCACCATTTGAACCTTCTCATCAGAAATAAAATAGAGTCATGACCACCATTCCTAATCATCGTCCTCAAAGTAGTCTAAGTAGTCAACTCTCTGAGGCTCGAAGCTTGATAGATCCCCCTGACCCCATCCTTTTTTAACCCTTGTCAGAGATTTAAGTGCAATTCCACTGCCGTCATCTCTGCAAAATAGCAATAGATAGGGATAGCATTTGTTAAGTTTCTGAAAAGACATTAAAACGACTCTCTTCACTTCAGCTCAGTGGAATTCCGAGTCCATTGCCTAATCATATACTTGAATGCTTACTCCATATATTGAAACCATTTTAAAGCAAAAACCAGAATTTCAAAGGACAAAGCAAAGAACTATGAAACCTCCAATACCGCATCTTAAAATACCTATTGAAATGGTGCCTACAACAGAAGAAACATTAAGAGAAACATGGAGAAAGTAGGATCCAAAAAATAAACATGACAACAAAAAAAAGGAAGTGCCATCCATACCTGTGCAATATATTCTGCCAGTTATTCTGGTGTAAATGTCTCGCATTTGGATCGACTTTGTTTTGTACTTCACCAACTGAAGCCATTTCCATCATCTTCTCAGCAAAATTATTTGCCTCTTTCTTGTTTCCCATCTTACCTAAGCCATCTATCACAGGCATCAATGCTGCAGGGTCAAACCCATATCCTTTGTCTATCATCTTATGCAAAATTCCACTAGCTACTTCGATCTCATCCTTCTTACATAAGCTCTCAAGAAGATTTTTATAATGAAAATTCCCCAGCTCAAAACCTCTATCTAAAACAGCTTCAAGCAACTCTGTAGCCTTTAAGAGTTGCCCTGCAGCAAGCAACTCATTGAACATCAAGCTGTAAAGGCCTTCCTTTTGTCCACAGATACTAACAGCAGTCTCAAACACTTCTTGAGCCATGTCAAAGTCAGGGACCTTACAGAACGCTCCAATCAAATATTTGAAGGAAAATACATTTGGGGATACATTCTTTTGCATCATTTCATCTAAGAGGTTAGTTGCATCTTCAACTTTTTCTCCCTCACAAAGATACTTAATCGCAGTATTGTAGGTGCAGATATTAGGTGAAATGCCCTTTTCTTTCATCTCATCCATCAGTCCGTGAATTTCAAATATCTGATTTTTTATGCCTAAGCCCAAGATTAACGAGTTATAGGTCTCTAGGCTCTTATGACAACCTTTCTTCTCCATGTCTTTGAGAACGCGAAATGCAGATGATAGTTTCCCCTGTTTGCAGAAATGATGGATGAAAATGTTGTACGCAACATAGTCTGGTTGCAGTTTCTCTCCCATCATCTCCGCAAACAGCTTTTTTGCTTCAGCAAACTTTCCGGCTTTGCACAAAGCATTAAGTAAAGTTGAATAGGTGATCAGGTCAGGCAAGCAATTGTTCTCTATCAAGCTGTCATCCACCAGTCCAATATATGAATTGCCTAGGTTACCAAGAGCAGCACTTCCATGCACCCGCATTCCCTTAACTATTTCAATAGCTTTATCTAAATCGCCGCTTCCACAGAGTCCATCAACAATAATATTGCAGGTGACAGTATCTAGTCCATAACCTTTTTCATTCATCTTACGCAGCAACTCTTCAGCTTCAGATATTCTTCCCAATTTCCATAGGCTATGGAGTAAAATATTGCAAGTATAAGCATTTGGTAAGCAATTATTCTTCATCATTTCCTGCAATAAGCTTTTCGCTGCGTCGACTTTTCCTACACTGCAATAACCATGTAGAAGACAGCCATAAGTTACAACATCTGGGGAAACACCATTTCTTTTCATTAAACCAATAATAGCCTTTGCATCGGATAGCATGCCCAATTTGCACAATCCATCCATCAAGATATTGTAAGAATAAATACTAGGCCATATTCCCTTATCAATCATTTGCTTAAGGACTGTTTCAGCTTCTATAAACTTCCCATGTCTGACCAATCCCTGCAGCCAAATATTGTAACTCTGCATACTATCATCATTTTCTTTAATGGACTCAAAGATGGTTTTGGCTTCCTCCAGCATCCCTACCTTGCAGAATCCTTTCAGCATCAAGTTATACGTTATCCTATTGGGACGAGGAAGACCCAAATATTCATCTAGCTCCATATCCCTGAAAATTCTAGACGCGTCCAGAACCTTTCCTTCTTTACAAAGCGCTGATATCCTAGAATTAAAAGTTACAATATCAGGAACAAAACCTTCCCCTCGCATCTTCTCCACTAGCTTTTCGGAATCATCGTTCCTGCCTTCCCTGCAGAAGCTCGAAACGATGGTATTATACACAACTTTATTTGGCAAAACCCCAAAACTTTCCATCGAATTCAACAACTCTAGTCCTTTATCAGGCAGACCAACTCTACAATACCCACGAACCAAAATCCCAAAAGTAAACTCATTTGGTTTACAACCTTTCTCTGGCATTTCGTCGAACAACTTACGAGCGGCATCCACACAACTCGAATCACACAAAGCACGTATCAATAGATTGAACGTATAAGTCTGTGGAGCAATCCGGCAAAGAACCATATCCTTATACAGCCACGAAACGAAATCCACACGTCTTTCCTTTATGCAACCTTCCAACAACACATTATACAAATAGATTCCGGTGAGGTTTTCAGGGAACCGCGAACGTAAGAATTGGAACTGCGTAAAAGCCTTGTCAATGTAATCCGATTTAGCGAAGATTGAAACAACAGAGAGAAAAGAAGAAAACTTTGCGTTTTCGATTGGCGAAGAGAGCATAAGACTGTGAAGTTCGTCGATTTCTTCGTGCATTTTGGCTCGAACGAGGATACGAGCAATCGTGGGTGCTGCAGAAAAGGAGATTCCATGACTCTCGTTGGAAGGAGAAGATAAAACCCTCTTGAAGATTCTCCATGCTAATCTCGGATTGTTCGTGTTCTTCAACAAAACCTTCACAAGTTTACCAGATTGTTCCATGGAAGTTGGAACTAGAAAACTGAAATTTCAATTGGCCTCATATCATATTTCAAAGTAAAAACGAACCAAAACGTAATAAAGGTTAAATTTCGGGGCTATTATGTAAATAGTAGACATTTGAGACTACTAAAAGTAAACGCTTTTCTTCTAAAGTCGCACTTTCGTTCCCTCTCTGAAGAATCCGATTCCGATCAAAATTTCACAGAAGAAGAAGATGTCTCGTCGCCAATCGATTTCTCTACTGAAGAATCTCGGGTCCAGAATCCAGACCCGATCCGTGACGTACATGCCTAGACCCGGCGACGGAAAGCCACGACCGGTGACGTTGATTCCCGGAGACGGAATCGGTCCGTTAGTGACGAAAGCGGTGGAGCAAGTGATGGAAGCGATGCACGCGCCGGTTTACTTCGAGCCGTTCGATGTTCACGGAGACATGAAGAGTTTACCGGAAGGATTACTGGAATCGATTAAGAAGAACAAAGTTTGTTTGAAAGGTGGACTCAAGACTCCCGTTGGTGGTGGTGTGAGCTCTCTCAATGTTAATTTGAGGAAAGAGCTTGATCTCTTTGCTTCTTTGGTCAACTGTTTCAATTTGCCTGGTTTACCTACTCGTCATGAGAACGTTGATATTGTTGTGATTAGAGAGAACACTGAAGGTGAATATGCAGGTCTTGAACATGAAGTTGTTCCTGGGGTTGTTGAGAGCCTTAAGGTGAATTTTCCTATTGGAATTTCTTCGTATTTCCGTTGCAAATGTGATTTGGTAGTAGATTTGAGAGAGTTTGATCGATGTGTAGAAACTTCTGGCATTATTGTTCTTTAGATTGAGTTATATAGTTTACACTTTTAGATGCATTTCTTGAATATAATACATAGCTATGTTGCTTATACAGTACAGAATGCTAGTCGGCATTCACGGTTGATCGTTTTTGTATTTAAGATGTCTCTGATACTATTGTTTGGCTAGGTGATAACAAAGTTCTGTTCGGAGCGTATTGCAAAGTATGCGTTTGAGTATGCTTACTTGAACAACAGGAAGAAAGTTACGGCAGTGCACAAGGCCAACATTATGAAACTTGCTGATGGATTGTTCTTGGAATCTTGTCAAGAGGTTGCTAAAAAGTATCCAAGCATCGCCTACAACGAAATGATTGTTGATAACTGTTGTATGCAACTCGTAGCAAGACCAGAGCAATTCGACGTCATGGTAAGTGTTTGAGCACTTGTTGATGTTTGGACTAGCTTCCTTGAAATTGGGTTATTTACATGAATCCTCCTTCTGCAGGTAACTCCAAATCTCTATGGTAATCTAATTGCAAACACTGCTGCTGGTATTGCTGGAGGCACTGGAGTCATGCCTGGAGGTAAAATTTGCGCTGATCTAATGCATCGTAGAGAAAATATTTGCTTGTTCCCTTGCTTATTAGATTGGAAATGGTCTGAAATGGTCAATAGGAAATGTTGGGGCGGAGCATGCAGTCTTTGAGCAAGGTGCATCAGCGGGAAACGTGGGAAAGGCCACGGCGGAAGAGCAAAAGAATGCAAACCCTGTGGCGTTGCTGCTCTCATCAGCCATGATGCTTAGACATCTTCAGTTCCCTTCTTTTGCGGATAGGCTTGAAACCGCTGTGAAGCGTGTCATCTCTGAAGGAAAGTGTCGGACTGAAGACCTTGGCGGAAAAAGTACTACTCAAGAGGTTGTTGACGCGGTCATTGCAAATTTGGATTGAATCATCACTGCTCCAGAGAAGTGGTATGATTCACACACGCTGGTCTACGGTTGTTTAGCTCTATTTTTCCACATTCTTTAGACATAACTCAAAATGAGTTTCGGAATTTCCACTAAAGAAAAAAAACATGGTTTTGTTGCTATTTTTACTGGGTTTTCGTTAAATTGCGATTTTGCTCTCCAGGAAAAAAGGAAAGAGGATGCATGCTCCTCTGATCATTGTGTTGTTCATGTACTCTTTGAATAATGAAAATTACATTTAACTTGTTATAAAAGCTTTACAATTTCTGGTGTCAAAAGTTGTCATATTTTCAACACAATAAATAGAGAAACTCAAAATGCCATGTTTCAAGTGGAACAATGTTTTTATTTCACATGGTTTATGTTCTGATTATACCATTTTGCTCTCATTATACCGAGTTTGATAAATGGACCAGACTCTCATTGAGTGTCTACAAAGGTTTTGACTGTATTGAGCAGTTTAGGGAAATGTACCAAAACACTTGACACAAGTTTTGGACTTTGACAAAGGAAATGAAGCAATGCAGTAACTACTAACTAGTAAGTAAAGTAGACCAACACAAGAAGCCAGATTCATGTCAAAATGTCAACTTTTTCATACAGTTGAAATATCTGAAACAGCACACAAGGGAAAAGTTACTAATTATAGAGGGGAGAAGGCCTAATTTTGTTACATACAATTCCAACCAGTTACTAGACCGGAAAACTCCAAAGAATCGTCTGAAATTAGAAGATCAAAATCTCTCAAGAGAAACTAGAAAATTTGTCAGAGACAGAGATCAATGGAAGAAGAGCTAGCTTGTGGCATGGAAGGAGGAGTAACAAGGGCAAAACAGAGGAGTCTACCCCACCTGAAAGACCAAATACTGATGCGGTCTTTGAGTTTCAATCCGTTAGCCTTAACGATATCGTTCCAGCCGCAAGTCAAAGCGTAATTCCAGCTTCCATTCCCTGAATCTTTCTTCATCTCCCATCTTTTCAACATCACACCCCACTTCACTTTCTCTTGATCAAACAGAATCGCTCCCACTCCCATCTTCTTATCGTTGTTGATGTCTTCTTCTATGATTCTCAACTCGACAGGCGTCAAGAAGTCTTTCTTGATTAGCTCATTGAAAGGCATGGAGAGACGGCTCTCTTTTGGGTTCACATCTGTTTTAAACAGAGACCTCTCGAAGATAAGCCTCAGGTCGGCTCCGTTGATGTATCTCATCAACTGAGTTAGCCACTCTGGAGTCTCTCTCCCTATCCATGAAAAAGCTTCAACCTTTGCTTTCTTGAATCTATCACTAGGCATTCTCTCTTGCACCGCACGTCTCTTTCGGCTTTTCTTCTCTGTTAGGCACCAAGACTGAGACCGTTGGGAATTAGGGTTTTGTGGGTTTCTCTTTACCTTCTTCTCGGAATCAGCCACCATCTTGCCATCTCCGAGAAGCAACAACGATGAAGTAGAATTAGGGTTTGGTGGGTTTCCCTTGTCCGACTCAGTCATGATCTTGTAATATCCGAGAAACAATGATGAAAACGAAAAAGGAGGGTTTCGTGGGTTTCTCTTCTCCGACTCAGCCGTGATCTTGTAATCTCCGAGAAACATCGACGAAGAAGAACAAGGAGGGTTTTGTTGGTTTCTCTTTTCCGACACAGCCGTGATCTCATGAAGGTTTTGTTGTTTGGAAACAAGAAATTTCTTCACTGAAGTTCTTGTTTTCCTCGGGAAGACATGGAAGAAACTCTTGTTTACTTGTTCAGAGAGAG